ACATATTTCAATTTGATACAGCAGGTTTACATTTCACTTAAGGTGTTTTTTAAAGAGCAAATTCACTGGCTTATGAGTCAGTATGACAAAACACTCCTCTTCTCTACACTATCAGTCAAATAAACACTGTTTACGCTTGAGTCAGACAACTATCTTTCTTTACAAAAATTTAAAAAAAAAAAAGCCAAAAGATATAACGGTTTTCCATTTATTATGTTATTGGTGAAAATACACGGTGAAGACAACAATGACAACAAAGTTAATCCAGGTTTTTTTTCCTAAACGTTTGTTTTTTTGTTTAAATCTCTTAAGAGATTTTAACTGACAGAGCCCTCTCTGACATTGCATAGTCATGCGATATCGAGCGATAGTTTCTGGTGACCTACTTAAAACGCGGGAAAAGCAGACAACACCACCACTATATAACAATAATATAAGATTCATAAGATATATTCGTCTTATTGCTCAATATGCATTTATATCTACAATGTGTGCTATTCTGGGCTTTTCGTTATCCGACGCACTATACAAAAACTCGCAACTTACGTCTAGGTATTGCATCAGGCTTTTCGCGCCAGAAGTTATTTTGGTCTTGAATAAACGCGAGAATCCGCGTGACATCCCAACATCATTGGCAACGGATGCCTTGACGACTGGGAAGAAAGGCATCAAAAGCCCTATTGACAAGCACAGATTTTAGTTTTACTACAATAACGGCCGTTTTAGTGGTAAAATGCAATAGAATATATTTCCATGCGTTGTTTTCAATGTATTTCTTGCGGAATTTTAAATCTCAAAGGAAGAGTTATTATTGCTTTAATATAACTTTAAGGACAGTTTGGGCACTTGGGTACATCAAATGGGAGAAAATGTCTACATATATTAAGCCTAGGTCCCAACTGAACGTATGGGCTGCTACGTGTGGTCTACGTCGAAAAAAATAGGGAAAGTGTGGGAGTATGTGCGTGAGGAGCACGTCCATCATGCAACTTTTGGAGGACGTAAACAGCACGTTGAAACTTTTTGACATGATCAACAGCCGCTACGTGGGATCTAGCTACGTCCTAGCCGGACGCAAGGCACCTAAAAACCGTGCGTCCAAAACGCAGTTGGGACCTAGGCTTAAGGAAAGAAACATCCAGACAAACAAAAGAGACCAGTCCAACACAATCACTTCATAAAATATCTAGGACTGATTCATTTCAGCCAATTGACCATATTTAGAAGGGAGGGGAAGGGGGTCTGGCAAAATAAGCTCTTTCTAAGGGAAGGGGGTCTGGAAAAAATGAAGGACCAATAAAACATAAGCTATTTATAAGATATCATATGCTACACCAAAGTGTTAGTGAAAATGAAGTAAAATGGATGGAAAGAGATGCTCTTGACGCAGGTGGTCTCTAAATAGTCAAGAAAAAATCCATAGAAATGCAATAGACTAAATTAATGGGATATAGTAAAAACTATTTTGTCTCTAATGTGTCAAACACTGAATGGCATTCAATATGAACATAAAAAGTATTTTTTAAAGCCTGAACAATTAAAACAAATGTTTATCTTAAGTGAGTGTAATTTTTAATGTTGATCATTTCGATATTATCATCCAGCAAGACTGCATTTTTAAGTCCCCAAATAAACTTTTTACTCTTGACCAAGGGTTTTCCCAGCAAACCATCCAGTTGTCATTTGCAAACTTGGCTGGATGGCTTATGTTTTTTTTTTTTTGTTTTTTTGTTTTTGTTTTTTGTTTTTTTTTTTTTTTTTGGAAAGATGATGGCTTTAGGGATACTTGGAATCCCTGAAGTTTTGTAGGAAATTACAGGTGGTAATTTTAAACTGCCTGAACCCCCAATCCTGGGAAGAGTCCTGCTCTTGACATTAAGAAGATTGAAAGATCCATAGAAATGTAATGAAACATCTATGTATGTGTTTCACTACCATAAAGCATAACCAAAACCATGTTTGAAAAGATGGAAGAAAATCCTCAAAAACAAAAAAAGCAGTTCAAAATAGCAGACCGAAGCAGATTGGCCTGTCTTATTTTATTTTCTTTTTTTGTAAGTTTGTTTTTTTAATTTATTCAGAACTAATTTTTCTTTATGTATGCTGTATTTTGCATGGACAATACGACACATGAATGTGTATTTAATGCTCACCTAATTGATTGTAATGTACACATCAATATGTATGGGTACACAGCTATATTTAAATAAAATAATCAGAGCTCTGTAATCTGTAGATAGTGATCACTAGATAAGTATATGATCTCAGATCTCAGATATAAGGTTGCCAAAGGTTTAACAGAACAAAGTATGGTTTTAAACAGGAGGGAAAAAAAAACATGTTTGTAAATCAAAGGTTGCACTTTTTCTTAAGCAACATTTCAGGTAAAATGCAGCATTTCTAGTTAGATTGGCAGTTTTCAAGGATGACCTGTTAGTTTATACATTCTAATTGTCACCCCATCTCCCTCATATATCCCACCGCACTATATGTGCTCACTTCATAGTTAATAATTATTACTCACAATATCAGGATGACAGTGCTAGCAATATAGCTCACTAGAGGTACATATAGCTTAAATATGTTCATACAGGAGCTATCTTAGAAAGTGGTGGGTTAGATCTTTTTTTTAAGTTGAAGGAAAATGACAGCATGATTTGTGTCATATCTAGTGACTCACTTGGGGTTTGTTACTAAATATCTTTAGAAGTAGGCAAGTCATATATGAGAGATCCCACAATTTCTAGTCACAACAAAATTTGCCATTTCATTGACTTCCATCCCAATGCAAAGCTAAAGTCAGGCTGGCAATTATAAAAAAAAATTTCTCAGGCCATATTGGTAGGCAAATTGTGATATATATATATATATATATATATATATATATATATATATATATATATCTTGCCACTCTGATTTATTTTTTTAATTCTGATATTGTCTCACCCTTCCTGATAAGCAATAAATATTTTAAAGTTAAAACAATGTAGAAGAGAATGTGGTAGTTGGCACTCTTGAATCATGCAAATAGTTATATCATAAGAGGACATTAGTGCCTAATTTCATGTCAATTCTAAAGATTATGGAACAGAATGATGCAGAGCTGATGCAAACTGTAAAGCTACCATCTTCAAGATCTGGGAAGTGCATCATGGCACCATTCAGTTGTATATGAGAAGCTGCTATATAGGATATTTATCTGATGGGGACTTTGTAGCTAATCTAAATGTAATAAAGAAATAACTATGTTTATTGGCCAGATTATAGTCCAATCAAAACTAATGAACAATCAGAAAGTCGGAAATATGTATTTTTGACCTTGCATTGTCAGCGTGAAAAAAAGGGTATCATTTGCCTACTAGTACTTTTAATCTGAAACTAGACACATATTCTTGTGTTGTAAAGAGCGGTTAAATTCCATGCTGTATCAAATGATTCAACTTATTTGACTAGATACCGAATTACACACGGTATACTGAGAAAAAAAGAAAAAAATGCCTACTTCCAGTTTTTATTAACCTATCAAAGATCATGAAAGTGTCCATGTCTAGAAAGCTGAGTCAATAGATATGAAATTTTATAGGTTTAATCCTAGCAAATAAGAATATTAAGCACAAGTTAACCTAAAAAACAAACCCCTTATCTTAAGCTCTAGATTATTTTGATTTATATTAACTAAACGATATGAAATAGTTCATGCAAGGCTATCTTCAAGCACTAAATAATAGAGGTCAAGGACTTCATTTCCCCATGTGATATTTTCATGAGTCAATTCTTGAGCTGGCAGCTGGTAACTTTTCCAGATACCACATTTCATAGCTTTTGCCAGATGCTTGGAGAAAGAACAAGACCTCACATCCAGGGGCTTGCTTATTTTACTAAGCCCAAATCCATATCTTAAGAACAACTGCCTAGGTTTGCTTGTATGTGCAACAAAAAACTGTTGCATACTGTGAACCCAAAATTGCAAAAAAAAATGGGCTACATAATATACATTAAACGCTATCTCAATGGACTGTTTTGTATCCTTACTAGTCCTAAAAACAAGGTAAAAGATTACCTTGAAGGTGAAGTTATTCACCTGTCTAAAATCCGATCTGTACACATTCTGAACCAGCTCATCAAATAACCAGCTGTAAACTTTGTATAAAGCAGTTCTATCTTTTGATAAAATCTTTACCTCCTTTTCTTAACAAAGGGCTCAGGTAACATCACATTCTTGAGTCTTGAGTAATTAGTACTGTTTCTTGCACATGTCAAACTGCTTGGTTTCAAAATATACACACAAAGTTGCTCAATGTCACCGAAAATGCCTTTTTTTATTGTCAGAGACATTAGAAAGATCACACAAAGTTTGGAGATTTCAAAATTACAGTGCCATTTTGTAAAAATCAGTATTAAAGTAATAGTTAAAATGACTATGAGAACTGTAGCGACTGGCCTGGTAGACCTGGGCCCCATAACTCGAAAGCATCGCGCATTGCGACCGAGCGCAAGCATCTCGATTCCATAACTTGCCCACAATCGCCCCATATAATACCCTCAAAATAAAAGGTGATATCACTATTCGCAATTCGCCATGCTTACGAGTAATCGGAGTTATGGGGCCCTGGGCTCAATAGTTCAGTGGTAGAGCAATAGCACCATGAGCAAGCGTCCCGGTTTAATCCACGAGCGATCCAGGTGTTTCCCCCAAAAGCAATACAATGGTGGCAATGACGTAGGGAGCAGTGGACTCATTTTTTGGCCTTGCGAAGGGGGGGGGGGGGAGTAGTGACTGGCTAGGGTAGAGTCAGATCTAGGCTGGAAAGCTCTGTGGTAGGGGACGCAAATGGTGAGTAACTGTTTGGGTTTGATCCCTGGTCGAGACAGTTTTCCAACAAAACACTACAGAAACATATGAAGTGTGTCTGTGTGCGTGCATGTTTGTGTTGTTGCTGTGCTTGTGTACGTGCACCAAGATTACAATGAAGCAAACCAGGCAGGAAAATTACCCTTACCTTGATGGCTGATAACTATCAGGTCGTTTTCTTCTTTGTCATTATATATGATAACTGCAGATGCATTGCGTACTTTGGCTGCATTGTACACTTTGTCGTGAAATCTGCAGTGTCCACGCTTTATCAGGGCGATCCAACGAGTGTTCGGTGGTACCTTATTTTTTGGAGCAGTGCATCCATGGGTCTGGTTGTCCTCCGTCCTTACATGAACCACTATTCCATGTTCGGGGCCAATCTTGCCTTTGTTTCCATATTTTCCCATCTCTTGGGTGTAAGAAACGGTTTCCTTCGTAACTGGGTCTTTGTACGTAATGTTTATGATGGCCCATACCACCTTTCCGCTGTCACTCATAGGTGATACGTCGTTTGCACATAACACAGTTATTACTTGGTGACCACATAGAACGCATAAAATCTGAAACCATAACATTGACCTCGCTCCTACCGACGGTGCCTTTACCAGGCTTGTAAAAAACGGTTTCAACTGGCAAAAATTAGGCATTGTTCGCCTTTAACTTTACTAAGTAGCTGGCCAAGTAGTTGGTATATCTTCTCAGCTATTGGAAAATCTGGAATTCATACGAGGAATTACCTTGAAGAAGGTCACATTTCATTGCGTTCTAGTTACCTCATGGGAAACTTTCATACCACCTTCCTACTTGTTTTGTTCTGAAGTTTACGTCACGTGATATAGCCAAGACGCGCTTGTAGGTGTCTGGCCTGTGCTGCCACCTTTTAGGCAGTTTTGCTATTACAGCGAGCGTATGTCATTCCATCACTGCTGGCATCGACATTAAGTTCCTTTTATATCAACACCAGCGAAACAACGTAGAATATCATTAAAATGATACAACATAAGCACTTAAGCATATGATCATACACTAAATTCGAGTCTTCTTAATGAAATTTCAATTTTTACTCTTAAAAGAGTGAAAAAAGAACTTGAGGTGAAGGCCTATTTCCTATACATATAATTATCTTTGTTTTTCCCCTTCTCAATTATTTCTCGAAACAATAAAATAGGTGTATGCATGCATGGTGTACTTCAGACTGGCCAAATTTCTGGTTCCCTGCTGGGTAAGTGCCAAAAACGAGACCTTGATTGCTGATCATGCTAAAAAAATGATGGAGCCTTGACCAAAGTAAACAAACATGCATCTCTTTTCTGGTCTGTCTTCTATTTTCCCGAAGTGGCTTTGTTTTCTATACGTATGCTCAGACACGTGCGTAAGAGGCAAGTCCTTGAAAACATAAGAAACGTTAGCTTCAAATCAAATATCGATTAACAAAGACCCATGCCTAAGGTATGCGATTATTGTCATCCACTTACTAATCTCACTTCACTAATTTCTTTCATATTCGACATCGTTATCATAAAGGACATAATTTATCTTTTAAAAATATTTTTGAGTTGACTAAGGTTCTACCTGACATGAAACTT